GGTGATGGCGCCTATAAGGAGAACATACATCATAGAGGATGAAGCCAACTGTTTCTCAGCAGAGCTTGCTTTCACACTCAAGCTTTGCAGCATGCTTTTGGGGAGAAAGGCTCCCCTGAGATTCCCACGACACCTCTGCAATGCAGGTGGGGGCCCTCATATCCTCACTGAAGGACATCCAGTGGGAGTTGCAGCCATCCTTCTGGCCTGGCAAAAGGAAAATGGTCTGAATGAAACACCATTTAATCAGAAAGTACCTTCTATCCCCTCAGGAATTATTGAAAAATATGCTTCAAAACTAATTTTCAGAGGAAAGCTGGCACCTGAATTCAAATTTTCAATTAATATGGTGATTCTCTCTACCAGACCTTTGCAGGAGAGACTGAGGGAGGAAAAATTGCCAGAGAAACAAAGCATTTCCCACAGGAGCAGCCAGGATGTGCAGTCGTGGTGAGCATCCCCTTGGAGCTGCAGCAGAGACATCCCAAACTATGAACCATTCATGCACAGAGGAAAGCATCTTTCTCTGTCTGAAGGGAACAGATGAAAAAAGTTGTTTGTGAAATACAGATGCAAACAGCAGTCCTTCCTCCTCCTTTGGTTATTTGCTCCTGGATGAGCACACTTACTGGTGTTTGCCTAAAAACCAGGAAGCTTTGTAAGAACTCACCCAGGCAGCAGCACTCCATGTGCCACCTCCCACTGCTTCACTCCTGTGGCAGGAGAACCCTTCAGAAACCAGACACGGTTCATTGAAGGCATTCAAGAGGGGTTTCCCAAGGTCTACACCTTGCCTATATGGTGGTAAGCTACACCGGGAAAAGCAAAACGTGGTGAGAGATGCCTGGACTGAGTTGCACCTGTAAGGGATAGAGATGGGGACAGCAGATATAAGGATCAGTAGGATGTGGATGATCTTGGAAATGTCATGCCAACAGAAATGTTCACAACGGGAAGATGATGCTTTTGCTGGTGATAGGACTGCTGCAATCCCCAGCAAATATCTCAGTTCACCTTGAAGGACTGTGGAAGCCTGCAGGCTGCCTCATCTCAGCCCACCCTTTACCTGCAGCCAAGGAGATGTAGGAGGTGGCCACTGTTGCTGGGAGCAAATGACAGGGGAGTCTCTGGGCCCGACAGGGTGATACGTGCAGTGGGTTCACTTGTAGGTGCCGCACTATGCATACACAGAAATGGCTGGCCCAGGAGGAAAAGCCAACAATTTGATTGAGCCGTTCAAATAAGCAAAACAAAGGAAATAACAAAGGATAACTCAATTAAATTTTAAAGGCGGCACACTTTCAAATGTCGGGACTGAGCAACACTTAAAGGTGATGATTGTTGCCAAGTTATTTGGAGAGAACAGGAGGCTGTTGGTTTATTCGTTTGAATGCACCAACACTATTTCAGCAGTCAGCATGTTCTGGAGGGATGGTCTGAGAGGCAATGAGCAGGGCCAGGCTCTTGCCCTGTGCACGCACTTGCCGAGCCATGCCCAGCTCTGTGCTGCTGGCCCATTAGGGGATGCGCAGTGGAGAAGGTGACTTACCTTACATAAAGATTGAGATGTGCTTTGCACACACGCAGATGGTGATGCTTCTCCTGCCACCCACAGCACAGATGGACTGTCAGTCATCACACTGAAAGCCATTCCAAGAGTGTTTCTACCCCAAGTCCGTTGGGAAAGAATTAAGTGCTCTTATCCACCAAAAATATTGTAGAAATAAGTCTGTTATTTATATAGCTTGGCAGATGAGACACAGCAATAAAGCAGAGATGCTGAAGTCACCCTTTCATTCAACACAAATCCTGCCTGCCCCTCTGTTTCCTACGAGGAGCTGCAGGCCACCATGAGGTCTCCCGTCAGCCTCCTCTGCCTGTCCTGAGCCAACCAAGAGATCTCAGCTGTTCCTTGTATCTTGCCTTATAGACCCTTCCCATCTTCACAGGCCTCCTTTGGGCACTCTCTAATCATTCTATGTCCTTTTATTGTGGTGCCCAAAGCTGCACCCAGTGCTGGAGGTGAGGCCACGCAGTGCAGAGCAAACTTTTCCCCCTGCCCCCTGGCAGTGTGGGCCTGATGCACCGCCCTGGGTACAGTTGGCCCTTTGGGCTGCCAGGGCACACAGCAATACATGCAGTAGTTTTGCACCTTTCCTAGTGAAGCCAGAAAGTGTTCCTACCACCTCTTCCTACCCTGAGGTGTGAAACCTGCACACGATGACCCACCTAGAAAAATGCATCAAGAAAAGCCAAAAGTAGGAGACTCTCAGAGGGCCAAAAGATAATAACAACAACAATAATATAAAGCAGTAATTTTGCTAAGTGGAAGCTAGCCCAAAATAATCTATGGTAGGTACAAGCTTTCCTGGATGAGGTTTACTGCCTGGGAGGATGCAAGTGACACTGAGAGGAAAGCATTGCTCGACCCGACTGCCTCTCCCAGATAGACAGCATGGATCTGTGAGGAGACAGTGATCTGTGTCTGTGCTGCTCACAGCAGAGGGAGCAAGCTCTAAATTCCTCATCACATGGAGGATGGCTTTGAGGCTGATAGCTCCCTGCAAGGCTTGGAAAGACATGCAGATGATGCTGATAGCCTGTGTCCTGCCATGTGCCTATCTCAAAAAGACGTTACTTAAATAACTAAAATATACATAATAATATACATAACTAAAATAAAACTAGTGTTTATTTATTATTATTTCCTGAGAAACTGACATACAGGTGCTCTTAAATATTCTGACATGAGCTCCCACAGGTGACCGTATCAAATGCAGCCTACCTGATCTCCCCACTATTTGTTCACACAGGTTTCCCTGCAGGCAGTGTGACTCAATGGGTTTTCAGTCCTCAGTTTGCACTACTCTAGCCTGCTCCCTGCTCTCTTCAGGCTACACTTCCATGGTAACTGCTCTTCCACTGCCAAGCAAAGGGATATCCACTAAGATAAGCATCATCTATATGTTCAGTCTTCCCAACACACCCAGGGCAGCGTGGAGCTGAACCTCTTTGGAAATATTTCTTTTCCTGGACACTTTGAGGATGTCTGTAAGTTTAGCTCTATAGGCAACCGAGAATAACACTAGCATGAACTTTCCTGTCTCTTCCATGCTTCTGAAGTCCTGTCCCATAGGACCATAGCCCATACAACCTGCAGCTGCTGCTCCAGTGCTGCACACCTGTGACCCGGTGAACTCTCCATTTGGTTCTTCCTCCTCCTCAGTCCTGCCAGCCAAGAGTACTCCTGCAGCAGCTGGCTGCTCCTTGTGCTTTGGCTAATTAAAATGAGATAGGAAATGGCAGCCAGAGGAAATCCTCTTGGACCATCCGTCTCTGTAAGCAGTCCGGGCAGCAGTGAGCTTCAGCCCAGCTTGTTAATAGCATCTTGCCCTGTCCCAGGAGGATTTTGGATTTAATCCCAGCCATTTCTCTTTTTCCTGGACAGTGGGGCCAGACAGCACCACAGAGATTACTGTATTTGCTCTGGGAGCATAAACAAATGATGTGGGGGTGGAAAGTGTGAGTCTCTTGCACAGAACAACTTGTCAAAAGGAGGCCCTTGAGCTTGCTTGATTAATAAACTCTTTTGGAAATAGTACAACCCAGCTCTTAGCCCTGACTTCCTGCATGTGTGAGAGATGCATCCCCAGCTACTGTGTACAAAAAAAATGCATTTTTAAAAAAAATTTAAGCAATGCCAGGCTGGCATTCCTTTTGATCAGTGAAGTGGCATTGACAAAGTCCCACCAGGTCTTCTTGAAACGGGAAGCCTGGAGGCTGTGTGAGAAGCAAGAGAAGCAAACAGCCTGTGGGACAGGGGAGGATGGGGAAAAAAATGGAACAGACCTGCAGATGGCAAGGTTATTAAAGAGAAAGAAAATTCATCATGGTAAGATGCTAGCACTCCAGTGCAGGTCTTGAGGTAGCATAAATCAGCATAATATTACCATGCCTGATTGAGGACAGCTACAGGCTGGGCCGTGCTCTCCCAACGTTGCTTCCTGCAGGAAAGCAGATATTCAGGGTAAGTCATCAAGGCTCTGGTACAGACATTCACATACTGAGCAGGTGTTGGAGGCAAATAGTAACATTATCTTCTTAATTTCTGTGTTCAGCTCCCTCAGAATTCGAAATGGAAAAATCCTTTGTTTCCATCTCATACAGTATTCACGGCACTGACAAGGAAGACAGCTTGAATGCACACTTTCAGCAAGCATATTTGATTATCTTCTGGAAAAAAAGAAGACTCTGAATGCAAGAAACTTTTTCAGGCTCAAGATAACAGTGTATGGAAACCCACATACATGACACTATGGCTCTGTAGCCAGCTTTGTTGATTAGAACCATTAGGATAAGGGAAGAAAATGATTAATGTGCTGCAAGCAATCTGCAAACATTAGAAAACTGGCAATTGTGTGAAACTAATTTTAAATGAAACAGGATGGCCTACTGACTGTGGGCAAAGAACTGCTAAAAAGGGCACTCAGAAAGATGGGCAGAAGAGCAGCACGCAGACCAAGAGCCCGCCCATGACAAAAGGTGGCTATTAAGACCACAGGCAGCTCATGTACCCAAAGGAAATCACTTCTGAAAACTAATGCAAAATGAACTCTGACTACATTTCAGCCTATGAAGGCTTACTGAACACTGACTTTGTAGGGCATCGACACTACCACCCTTGCAACAGCCAGCAGAGAACAGCCCGTGGCCATGGGGCCACATTCAACTTAAAAGGTTGTGGGGCTGTGAGGCTGCAAAAAAGCCCGGCTGTGAGCAGGAGCAGCAGCCAGTGAGGTGCTGGAAGCCACAGGATGGCTTTCCCAAGCAGCCCCATCTCACATCTGTCTCCTCTTCATGAAGTTTTCCTCATCTGAGTTCTGATGTATGTGCTACGTGACATGCAGGCAAATGAAGACTTTAGGACACAGCACAGATACTCACTTCACTTCAGCAAGAAAACCATGTTGTTCAAGAAAACAACAGCCAGAGGATTCAGGCACCACTTTAAGATATCAGGGCAACAAATAATAGTGGGCAAGACTACAGTGGTGAAGCAAACACAGACTTTGACAGAATTTGGGATTTTTTTTTCCCTTTATGTCATAAAAAAACTGAAAATGAAACGAGACATAATGAAAATGAATTCACAGAAGGAGCAGTAGCCTGAAGGTCCAATGTTGTACTGTGGTGTTTCACTCATTTTTCAACCCTCCTTTTTCTTGTCTGATTTTTGTACCAATGTTTTTCTCCTCCTCTCACTGAAACTCATATTATAATCCTGCCTTGAGATGCTCACCTACCAGTCCATCACTCCGAAAGCAAGCCATTTATCCTACTGCTCAGACATCCATCCAGACCTTGGCAGGACAGCAGGGAGCAGAGAGAGAGAGAGGAGAGCAGTTTTCCTGTTGCTTTAATGTTGGTTATAAGCTATGGAGCGTGCTAACATCGATCAACAAAATCCGTTCACACTTCTGTCCCTTTCTTCCTCTCTCCCTCAAGGACTCACAGCTCCAGCTCGGAGCTTCCTTTTATTTTTCATTCAGCCTAATGCAACAGCACCCATGTAGCTGCCACTGCCTGACTCTGCTTCCTTTCCTTCACATCAGCTAAATCTGTGCCCAGAAAGCCTCCCCATGGGTCCTGCCTGTCACTTAACAAAGCGTGCACTGATTAGCTGCTGATCTCAACAGATGACGCTGATCAGAAAACAAACAAGGATTTTCTCTGAGAGAATTTTCATGCAGACCTCTTTCCCCGCTGCCTCTTTCCAAACCACCCCTTTTCCTTCCCAAAGAAATGCATACAACACACAAAATGAAAACCAACACTAAAACACAGTAAGTTCTTTTACCCATTCCAACCTCCCACCTGCTGCTCCAGCCTTTTGTGTCGGAAGCAACGTGCTACTCCAATGGGACAGTGCATAAGGCATGTGCAGCGATTTTAAACACAGCACTGTCATTGTTGTCTCCTTCAGTCAAAATAAAACAAAATAAAAAGCTACCTTATACACATCTCATCACAGCAACAGACAGATCTATCACAACATGCATTTTGACACACAGTACAAAGCAAAAATGCCATTGAGGTTTACAGCAGTTTAATGAAAGCTCTCATACCAAATCCTTAACTCAAACTTAGTTATTGAAAAAAAAAATAACTTACAATGAAAAAGCTGATGAGAACTGCTCACCTACCCACGGAATTAACTGCGGAGTAACGCTGTGCTTAGATACTCACCACACGATAGAAACAAATTTAAATCACGACTAAGGTACACACAATTCAATTCCATTCTGTTTTCAATTAGATGTAATGTAACCTCTGCAAGTTCTCTGAAGAACAGAGAGTTGTTTTCTTTATTTTTTTTTCTAACACTCACTGGAAATAAATACCATCTAAAGAACACACACACAGAGTGCAGTCAGATGGACACTGAGGCACTGGTACAGTCTAGTCCTCTTCAGCCCTCTACAACTACAAGACCGTCAGTTTTAAACCACAGATGGCATAGAGGGCAGAGCTGTACAGGTAGTGCACAGGTTATGTACTACACAAGAGCACATCTGCAAAAGGTCCCAAGAGATTTTTGTTGAAGATGCAGCGTATCCACACCAGGTATATTGTGAAGGGCTTAATGTTTTCTGAGAAGGTGTGATTCTGATGGGACAATATATAAGGCATGTAGGTGTTTTCCCCTTGCTCTTGTATCCACACTTCATATTTCACTTCTCTGACCTTCAGGTACTTAAGGTTCCAGGGTACCTGCCAGGACACAGAAAGCCTAGCTTCACTCGTGCCCTGGACAGAGGCCTGACACCTGGCATCCCTCACTTTGCCAGGGTAGAGGCTACCAGACCACTTCTTCTTAGTCCCGGGCTTAGACTTCACAGTCTGCCTGATGACATGGATGAGGGAAGGGATGTCCACCTTCGTGTCCTGGTAGGCACGGAACAGCCACTCAGGGTTGCGGCAGCACAGATGCCGCGGCACCTCTGTGCTCTTAATGATGCGCTCTTGCTCAGCTTTGTCGAGATGTGCAATCCCACCCTGATCCCAAGGTCTATCCGGGTAGGTAATGGTGTCTTCCCTGGCAGTGTTCTGCCAGGCAATGTACTGCAGGTCCATGCCAGGAAGCGTTGCCAGGGTTTTGTAAGGGGTATAATGTTCAGGGTTGATGGCATAAGGAAAGAGCTCCACCACCGTGGCACCTCTTGGCAGGAAGAGAGACATCACTAATTGGGCCCCATGCATGCTGACCAGCATGGACGCGTTGCTGATCAGCCGGACGATGTCAGAAAACGAATGCTCCTCCAGAGAGACCGTAATGGTTTTCATCTGAAACTCCTGGGCGAGGGCCAGGATTAGTTCTGCCTCATTTAGGATAAGTCTGTTGATTGTTCGACTGAACACGACGATGTATTCCTCACTGGTGCTTTCTTCCAAGCTGACGTTCAGCTTCTCCATCATGAATTTGGTGAACTGCCTGATCTCATTACCAGAAACCAAGATGTTAGCCTTCGGCCCTTGTGGCTGGACAAATCCATACTGGTACCAGGTGGTGATTTTGGACAGTCCCACGTAGGATTTGGTAAAGCATAGGAGCCTGCCCAGAGTTTTCAGCTGCTCCCTGAGGAGCGGTTGCTTGTTACTCAATAACTTGTAGAGGTCAAAATGAACACCTTCACTCCACCCTTCCATGAAGAAGAGCCGTGTCTCCGGATCTAAATCAGTGAACTGCTGCATGGTGTAATAGATGGGAAGGAGGTCGTCGTGAAAGACATGCATCAAGTTATCTGGGTTGAACCTGTTAGCAATCAGTGCCACGTCAGGCACGAAGACTGGCTTTGGCATAAACTTCAGCGCAGCAGCGGGCAGCTCCACAAAGTTGAAGTACTGGGTGTTGTGATCTTCCACAGAGGAGAGGTCGAGCAGAGCTGGCTGGAACCTACGGGAGCCCAGGTTGGGCAGCATGACCGAGGAGTTGCTGTGGAAATAGATGAACTCCTCAGCCTCGGTTGAGTAGCAAAGGGACTCAAAGCGGCAGATGCGGTCGGTGTGCATCCTGCCAGTGCACACCATCCTAGTGCCATCCTCCAGCAGGGTCTGGAGAGCTGCATGGTAGTCAATCTGAACCTGAGAGAGCTCCTGGGACTGGCGCATGAGGACCAGCTCCTCTTCGACCATGAAGGCATGCTCTCGTAGTTTGATGTATTTCCACAGCACCGTAGCGAGGACAGACACGAGCAGGGCATTAAACACAGCTGCTATGTTCATTCTGTAGTTAGATCCTAGCAAAATGACAGGTGGGGAATGCAACAGAAGGCGAGAACATCATTAACACTCCTTGACATGGTGAAGGCAAAGACCTGTGGAAAATAAAATAAGAAAAAAAACATTTAAACACCAAGTTTACAGACTTACCATAACTCATATTTCATGGACTATTCAAGAGTGTAGGGATTTTTCAGCATTTTTTCTTTTTCAAGGGAAAGGGAGAAAGTGTGCCAAAGCAGTACTTGAAAATGGAAAAAAACACACAAAAGAAAGAAACTTTCTTCTCTCATTTCCATTTCTGCCCTTGTGAAGAAGACAAAAAAATAAAAAAACCCAAAAAGGTTAAGGATGAGCTCTATGAAGCTTTGTTAGAGAAAAGGTTACTTTCCCTGGGACTTTGGCTTACTCTGTTTTTTGCAGACCAGTCCAACAGCAAGAGGAAAGGCAGCGTCACAGTCATTGGCCACTCTGACAGGCCATGGCCACTTTGTCCCTCACCTTAAATGTAATTAATAAGAGATAATAACACAACAAGGAGTGCTGCCACAAATCGATTCTGATACATTCCGTTCCAATATGAAGCGTGAACTGGTGAACATAATGCTCTGTTACTGGGGGTGGAGGAGGACCAAAGAAGGGTAATTAAGGGCAATGAAGCTGTGAAGGGTCTGGAGCACAAGTCCTATGGGGAGCGGCTGAGGGAGCTGGGATTGCTGAGTCTGAAGAAGAGGAGGCTCAGGGGAGATCTGATCGCTCTCTGCAGCTGCCTGAAAGGAGGCTGTGAGGTGGGGATCGGTCTCTTCTCCCTGGTAACCGATAGGATGGGAAGGAATGGCCTCAAGTTGCATCCAGGGAGGTTCAGGTTGGGTATAAGAAAACATTTCTTCTCAGAAAGAGTGGTGAGGCACTGGAACGTACTGCTGATGGAGGTGGTGCAGTCACCATGGAGGTGTTTAAGGAAAGTGCAGACGTGGTACTTAAGGATGTGGTTCAGTAGGCAGTATTGGTGGTAGGTGGACAGTTAGAATAGGTGATGTTAAGAGATCTTTTCCAGTCTTAATGATTCTATGATCCCACGATATGCTGCTGTACCAGCTGCCCTGTGGTAGACTATCAAGTCTGCCATTTCTTTGGCTATAATCCAGGACCACAGGCTGGTAGCTGCCAACATTTTCAGAAGAAGCAAAGCAATGGCATAGGAGAGAAGAGGGCTGCACTCTTTAAACAAGGAACTGATGTTTTATTGACATAATCAAACCTTCACTGACTGAGAATGTCTGACTTGCACTAGCACGGCTGATCCTTACACAAAGGTGAGTAACACATTATAAATGTTTCCAGCACCTCCCAGTGTCTTCCCATTCCAGCCCAAGAGTCTCTTCTGTGCTGCTATGTGGTCTCCCTGTTTCTTTTCCTTAAGAAAACAGGAAGCCACTGTTTTCTTTCTAAGCAGAAATGCTACTGGCTTATATCAGAGCATTGATTATATTTTCAACTGTGAACTTCAATTGAGATATTGATTCACCTACAGTATTTATGGGCTCCGATCTTCATTATGCATCAAGGTTCACTGCTAGTCAGCCTGTAGATAATAGTGGTCATGACTCATGAGGAACTATAGGAAGATAAATTTTTCATTGCTATGTACTTGATTAGTCTGTTTCTAATTGCAGTTTTTAAAGAGTGCAATTTAAACTCCCTTTGATGCGAGTTTGTAGAGAGGGAAAAAAAGCAATAGCTCAAGCACACACTACAACATCCCAAGCAATGGTCTCTTAGCATTTTAATGCAGAGACACTTTTCTTATATGCCAGAGTGGAGGAAGACAGCAAGGCACATTTAGGACATACGCAAACACTTCGCTACTGCCAAGGGAGTTCTTTTGAAAAGAGATATTGCAGCTTAAATGCTTGATCTTACAATCTGATTCATGCAGCTTGGAAATGAATGGAGAACCATTCACAGAATTCAATAAGGTTAAAAAGAATCCCCATAGCCTGTGGGATCCCTACAGCTTGCAGGATCCCTGTCTTAACTAAGAACTGAAAATACCTGAGAGACTGAATAATGCCTTGGAAGCAAGTGCTAGCTTGCTAAGCTAGTAAGTCATGCAGATCCTAGAGGTAGTCTCTGGGGACCTTAGCAACAAATTCATTTTGGAGCAGCTTCAATGACTCAAAGGAAATAGAAATGAAGCCCACCTCCTTTGGCAAGTAGTCTGAAAAACTGGCTCGTTTAGCAACTCCCTAAAAGCAAACAGTAAATTAAAAAGGTGCTATTTTGACTTCAGCCATGAAAAAGGAAGGCAGAAAGGACACTGAATGATCATCTCCCTATACCACTCCCAAAAGACACTCTTCTTAATACTCGTTCAGCTTTTCAGCCAGCCTGTAGCACTAATGGCATGAAGGATTACCACAAACTCTGTCCTAACTTTCCACCTTAATTTCCTTGGCAGCAATTTAAATCTGGTCTTGTCCCACATGCCACAGATATCCAGCACAGATGAACAATGGCTGTCACATCATCTCTCATACTTATCTCCAGAACAGGGGATGACTGATGCTCCTGATGGCTCTGCAGCTATCAGCTAAGGCTGTTCCATGGCCAGCCTTGAATGGAAACCTACTGAGGACAGCAGTGCATCACATGGTGTGCTTTCAGGCCCAACTAACGCAATCAAATCAATTCTCAGGAAAAGAACCATCCTACCCTTCTTAGGTGTTTGATGGGAACAGCTCTTACATTATTTTAGTGGTTTAGTGAGATTTCTAAAGCTTCATTTTTCTTCTTCACTATAGCTGAATGACATTCCGATATCACCCAACTATCCACATGACATCTCCACTACACATCTCAGCTACTGAGTGTGCTGCTTTCAATGGCTTCCGCAGCATTACCAAAGAAAGGACCAAGTCCGAACAGCTTTGAGGAGACAAGAGTTGCAAGAACTTGGCAGAGGAGAACACCACACGGCCCTTTTATTATTCCAGTCTGGCAGGGAGTGTGTGTTGGAGGGTGTTTCAGAGGCATTAGAAACCAACAGTCACAACACATCACTGACAGCACCTGCATTTCATGGGCATCTCGGGGGTGGAGAGCTCCAGCAACCATTACAAATCCATTGAGCCATACAGCCTATTCTAATGTTTCGCCCTGACTGATTTGTTCTCTCCCTTCCAGCCCCAAGGGAAGGGCATAAGAGGCAGAGATGCAGCCCGACGGATGCGGCTGATGTTCAGAGGTTAGCAATTTTCATTTCAGACTCCACTAAGGCAATACCTGCTAAATGGCTACAAATGAGCTACCCAGCTTTTTAATAAAAAACACCTGTTAGCCCTCCTCCATCTCTTTCCTGGATGCAGCTCTCTCACTTCCTTGCATCTTAGCTAAAACAAGTGTATGTGCTTTATCTGACTAAGTGTCAGGAATGAATATTACAAGCTAGCAATGCTGAAGGAATTCATCTTTATTCTTGCTTCTAGCTGCTGATTTGTAAATCCTGGTTCATGCTGCTTAGCTGAGAACTGCTTTTGATGGAAGTGAACAACGGAAAATGGACAGCAATGGGCTGTCATAGGCAGAACTGAAAAGAATTCCACAGGTACTCAGGGAACAGTCTTGAATCTTTGCCTGTTTTCTCACATTTTATCATCCACTACTTTTTATTTGATGCTTGCAGTGTACGCCATGGAGAATAAAACCTCTGGTCCCTCAGGGAGCAACAGAACATGAGCAGCAGCACACCGTGCCACCTGCTTGCTCCTGCACACCTAGGAGGGGCTGCATCAGGGAGGCAAAGCAATTACTCTCCATGTCCCTTGAGGCTGAAATTCATCAGTTAAGTGCTACCAACAGCAATTGTTCAGGCATGGGGAACCTACCCAGTAGGCAGCATGCAACTCTGATAACAGGGGAAAGCATTTAGTCTTCCACGTAAATGTAGCTGCTTCACTATAAAAGCTACTTTTATTACTAACCCTCCCCACAACACAGGTCTAGAGCTGTAACTCGCCTCCCACAGTGTCACTGGAGAACATTCTGAGAACTGAAAGTGGGCAGCAAGTGGCTGGCCAGACGCACTACTGCTTTCCCTGAACTCAAAGGCCTCCGTGCTCCATTTCTTTCTGCATGTGTCAGCACCTGGACTGGTCACACCTCCAGCTGCCCACATACTAACCCTGCACTGGAAAAGCTCACCCCATTCTCAGCATCATCCTCCTTGCCAAGTTACTGCTCCCGTAGTACTGAGCACTGGTGAGCAGGTGAAGATTCTAGAGCATGCATCTGGTGGGTTCAGTAAGGACCCTGTGACACTTGTATCGTGTCTGTGGTATTCTCAGGGGTGCTCAGAAGTGCTGGCCTGCCTGGAGGCAGGAAGGCCCTACAGAGTGATCTGGTCAGGTTGGATCAATGGGTTGAGGCCAACTGTATGAGCTTTAACAAGACCAGCTGTCAGGTCTGCATGTTGGTCACAGCAACACCATGCAACACTACAGGCGTGGGGAGAGAGCCTGGAAAACTGCATGGATGAAAAGGATCTGGGAGTACTAAAGGACAGGCAGCTGCACTTGAGCTAGCACTGTGCTCAGGCAGCAAAGAAGGCCAACAGCATCACGGCTCATATCAGAAATGCAGCCAGCAGGATCTGGGAGGTGATCATCCCTCGGTACACAGCCATGGTGAGGCTGCACCTTGGATGCTGTGTTCAGATTTGAGCTCCTCACTGCAAAAAGGGCATCGAGGCCCTGACATGTGTCCATAGAAGAGCAACAAAGCCGTGAGGCACAGGCTGCCCAGGGAGGTGGTGCAGTCACCGTCCCTGGAGGTGTTGAAGAACCATGTGGATGTGGCACTGAGGGACGTGGTCAGTGGGCATGGTGGGGGTGGGCTGGTAGCTGAACTTAGTGATCTTAGAGCTCTTATCCACTCTTAATGAATCTGTGATTCTATGATTCTGCCTTTTAACTGCTGGTCATCTGATGTGCTAACCATCTCCAGGAGGTGCGAAAGCAACAGAAAGTATGGATGGAGAAGCTGTTCCTCTCTTATTAACACGTAGAGGAGAGCAGAGTGGGTGGAATTGGAGAGA